TTATTGTAAATTAATTTACTAAACAAACGAGCTGCAAAACTAAAACCTGTTGTCGGATGGGGAAGGATGTCGTTGGATATAGGAACGGATGTCGCCGGAGAGAGTGATAGATGGAGATGAAATGAGTTGCGATTTAAGGATTTAGGTTATGAGTTGTTGTTGTTGCGTAGTTATATACCCAAAACATTTGTGTTGCGAAATTAAAACCTGTTGCAAATTTGAAATTCAGCATTGCGACAGTCAGAATCGCGTTGCGTTAGTTAGAATCGTGTTGCGATTATGTATTATCGCGTTGCGATAGTCAGAATCGCGTTGCGATTTACATATTCGCATTGCGATAGTCAAAATCGCGTTGCGAATCTGGAAACTGATTTGCGATACTGGAGATCGCATTGCGATTTTGTTGGTCATTTTGGCAAATCGAAAAAAAATTGGTCAAAATCGTATATTATAAGGAGTTTTCGGTCACTGATGTTATTTTCTCGATATATAATTGTCAATTAGAGTTGAGGCTGAATTATTTAGAAAAAATAATATATATATATATATTGACCTCTCAAAAAAATATTTAACAAGTTATTAAATTTGGTTATCAAAAATATATATCATTTTAGAATTTAGAAATTAGTTAAATATCATTTATTAAAGGAGTTGATATCTACCTTTTTGTATTATTGTTTTATTTTTAAATGGATAAAAATTTATTCTTTCTACGTCATTTCTTATTTTAATGCATAAAATAATTCCTTGTTTGGTACTTCATCTTTTTAAGTTCAGGGCTTCAATCAATTTATTAAGTATTTAACTTTTGATTTCATTTCAGTTGAATATATTTTTTAAAATATTTTTCAATTCAATTTATTTTTACTGTTTTATTTCAAATATCTATATTCACTATGTGAGTTCATGAATTTTCATTTCCAATAATAAAAATTTAAACACAATTTTAGATAACATTATTATCTATTTATTTTGTTTCTTTAAATATTTATATGAACAAATGAATATTAAGAAAGGAAAAGAAAAAGACCCAATTTTCGTGCCTCTCGTGACGGCTCACACGCCAATATTCATCAAACCAATAGAGATCTTTCCCACTTTATACTGATTGTTCTTTAAGCTTTTCCCACTTGTTTCCACTTTCAGTTCAACCAAAAGAGATTCCTTTATTCACTGAAAAAACTCTGTTCTTCACAAATTTTAGTTATCCGACTCAGCAGTTCGGCCTTCAGGTAGCGAATTAAAGCTTGCACAGTTTAGAGTTTTTCTCGGATCTGGGTGTTTTGGACTTTGAATTTCTATGACTTAGATGAAGTCTAAAATCGTCTCATATATTTAATGAATCCCTGTTTGATCAGTGTTCTTACTAGTTAGTAGTTACAGTTTGTTGCCATGAAATATTGGGACCACAAAATACTTTGCTTTTTGTCTGATTTTCTTCCTTTGCTTACTAAGTTTCTAAATTTGCCGAGGTTTGGTCTTCTGATATTTATTTCCTTTCTTTTCTGTTAACTTTCCGGAGAATCGTATGAATATTGGTTTATAAACTCAGCGATGGAATCATTCTGCATGTCACTAAAGGCTAATGCAAGTCCAACTAATGTCAGCAAAGTTCGTTTACTCTATTCTCACCCCAAAAATTAATAAGGATACCATTGTAAGTAAAAGAAAGCATTTTCAGTGTCGTGCTTGACCCAGGGATTAAACAACTAGTGCCAGATTTCTAACCGTAACAGTTAATTATTTTTCTGATTTTTCAGATCTTTTAATGTTGGCTTTTGAATCTTTTGATTGTCAGAATTTTGAGGCACCAAAAATTGAGACCCCAGAAGCAGACCCAAAGAAGGTAGCTTCCATCATATTGGGTGGTGGTGCTGGGACTCACCTCTTTCCTCTTACTGGAAAAAGAGCCAAGCCAGCAGTAAGAAACCATTGTTGGGAGACATTTATTTACTTTTATGTTTTAAATTGAAAGTAAACATTGGAGAAATTTGAAGTCTCACATTGGTGGGATTAAAGTTTTCTATTATTTTGTTTGGTTTACAGGTTCCAATTGGAGGTTGTTACAGGCTGATTGATATTCCAATGAGCAATTGTATCAACAGTGGGATAAACAAGATATTCATCTTAACTCAGTTTAACTCCTTTTCCCTCAATCGTCACTTAGCTCGGACATACAACTTAGGAAATGGTGTAAATTTTGGGGATGGTTTTGTGGAGGTAAGGCCATATTGATTTAGCAATACCACTAGAGTTGTTCGAAATTATGCATATTATTTAGAAATCCATGTTTTTGCTAGGTTCATGATGTTATGGTATTTTTGTCTTCATGGAGTTTTTATTACATTTCTGGAAGGGTTGATGAAACTACGTTGCCTGACACAGGTTCTGGCGGCCACTCAAACACCGGGAGAAGCAGGGAAGAAGTGGTTCCAAGGCACAGCTGATGCTGTGAGGCAATTTGTGTGGGTCTTTGAGGTTAGTTGCTAGGATTAGTGTTTGAGCTGAGATCATCTGCCTTGGCCCTGAAGTTCACCAAATATGATTTGTTTAACTTTAGGATGCCAGAGCCAAAGATGTGGAGCACGTATTGATATTGTCTGGCGATCATCTTTACCGTGCAGACTATATGGATTTTGTAGGTACGTAGTTCAACTGCTCACAACTGAAGTACTGCATTCAAGGCCCCTTCTTTTCTTTTTCATGAATAAAGATTGTACCTTGAAAAATCATCTGGCTAATCTGCAGTTATTGTTCTTGCAGAGGCATACTGACTCAAATGCTGATATCACAGTCTCTTGTTTACCAATGGATGACAGGTATTTATTATGTTTACTTATGTGTGTCAAACATTCTAAGAAAAATGTATAATGGCTATATTCTTTATATATGATTCACTTAGTGTAACGCTATGCAATATCTCAATATTGGTCTCCATCTGGCTTTTAGATTCTTTGAATATTGCTTTCATTTTTCTGTTGCCGAGGGCATGAAGTATGTACAATGGTTGCTTTCTTTCAGAATTGGGAATTAACTGCACTTCATTTTGCAACCGTGCATCAGATTATGGATTGATGAAGATAGATTGATCAGGACGGGTCGTCAAGTTTGCTGAGAAACCAAAGGGCCCCGATCTTAAAGCTATGATACAAGCTTGTTATTATAAACCACGTTTCCATAATTGTTCTGTTTCCAGACATTATTGTTTCCTGATAACCAAAACTAAAACTGTGTCTACTGGCATCAGTAAGTTCCTCTACTTAGTGATCTTGCTTGTTTCACATTTGTACTACAGCAAGTTGATACCTCCATATTAGGCCTATCAGCGCAAGATGCTGCAAGATATCCATACATCGCATCAATGGGTGTGTATGTGTTTAAAACTAGTGTATTGTTAAAGCTTCTAACTCGGAGCTATCCATCATGCAATGACTTCGGCTCCGAGATTATTCCGGCAGCTGTAAAGGAATACAATGTCCAGGCAAGTTTACTTTCAAAAGAAATGTCACCTTTAGTTTTCGCTATGTACTTTCAGTAGCAATCAGTTACTATTTGCAATAATGAGGACTTTTAATCTAGTGATAAAAGTGCTGAGTTTCTGGCTGTTTGATTGTTTTCAGGCATATTTGTTCAATGACTATTGGGAAGACATCGGAACAATAAAGTCCTTTGATGCCAATTTAGCCCTCACAGAACAGGTTGCTCTCACTTGTTCTGTAGAAGTTTTAACTTTGTAATTTACCGATAAACAAACATACTGAATCCCCATTTATCGGCTTGCAATAACCCAACAAGTATAAGATCCTCCCTTTTAGATGCTGCCATGTCGTCATGTTTGCATATAGATATGGAAATCATTTGCCTTATTTTTTCATTTGGTATGTTTCACTATGAGACACCTCACTCATTCCACTCGTGTACTTCTCTTGCTAAACATGGCACTTGGTATCTATTCCCTGAAAACTGATTATCCATGCAGCCACCAAGGTTTCAATTTTATGATCCGAATGCACCTTTCTATACATCTCCAAGATTCTTGCCTCCTACCAAAGTTGATAAATGCAGGGTATGATGTCAAACTTTAGTTCATGTCATGGATCATAATTTGATCATCTTTATCTCATGGCTAATTTGTCACTGCAGATTGTCGACTCCATAATTTCACATGGATGTTTCTTGCGAGAATGTAGTGTACAGCACTCTATAGTTGGTGTGCGCTCACGATTGGAGTCCGGGGTTGAGCTTGAGGTGATCCATCATCTTCTCTTTCCCATATAAAAGCATCTAAAAAGGGATTAGAAGTACCCGTTTTTGATAATAATCTGTATTTTAAAAGTACCTGCTATATGTTTCCTTTGCAGGATACCATGATGATGGGTGCAGACTATTACCAAACCGAATCCGAAATAGCATCTCTGCTAGCGGATGGAAAGGTCCCTATTGGTGTTGGACAAAATACCAAGATCAAGTAAGATTTAGATCGAAAAACCATCTATCGACCAACGGAACCTGGTTCTTGCATCTAAACCATTGTATCTGATGATCTCCTCATCCGTCTTTAAAATAACTCCTTACCTTGTTAACTAAAAACTTCTTGCATTGCGTTTTTGCAAGGAATTGCATTATTGACAAGAACGCCAAGATAGGAAAAGATGTGATCATATCAAACGCTGATGTAAGTATTGTTTTCCTTGCTTCCATGCATGTAGAATGCTTGTGCCCTTCGATAATTTTAATTTACTCTAATCCACCCAGGCTGTTGAAGAAGCTGAGAGACCAGAAGATGGGTTTTACATTAGATCCGGGATCACCGTCATACTGAAGAATGCAACAATCAGAGATGGAACTATCATATGAAATTTTGAATCCTTGTGGAGGTGGTGAATAACCGAGGGCCTGTAGCCTGTTCCATTGTGAAAAAGAAAAAATATAGGACTGAAGCTTTGTATACTATAAAGTTCCAATGCAAATTTCAAATAAAGTCGAACACCATTTGCTTCATTTATAATTATCACTTCTTGGATTCATTCAGTAGCACAAACTCAAGCATACAGCACAAAATAAGCTGGTTCATCATAATCACATGATGTATTAAAACTTTAGCTCACAGTTCATTTCTAGAAGAGCATTCACCTCGTTATAAACCCTATATAAAAAACTAGCATTAAATCAACTTGTTACTTTCTCTTCAACACTTAAACTATTTATAATAATATATCTTCTTTCTCAATGTCCTCCTGTGTTACTGACACCATTTCCAGACCACCATTGTGCTCTTCTGATGTCCCTTGCTTTGTTCCATTTCTCCATGTCCTTCAACCTCACATACATCTTCCGAATATGATTAAGTTTCTGAGATTCTTGAGTAATGAGGTTTACAGTTGAGGTGCTTTGGCTCAGGATTACCTCGTACCCATCTCCATAAGAGCCCATTCCTTCAGCTAGAAGTTGCCAGAATAACCCACCGACAGCTGCACCTCCGCCCCTGGCCGATGAGTAAATAGCTGTGTACACAGTGTTGAACAGCTCGTCTCTTTGGTTAGGACCCGCAATTTTTAGAGATTTTCCGAACTCGGCAAAAAGCAATGGTTTCTGAAGGATGTTCTGCGCATCTTGGATGTGATTGTACAACCAATTATTCAAGAAGGCAATCTGGCTCTCATCATTTGAGCTTTGCAACCTGCTCAACAAGAAAATGATTCAGATTCATGGAAGGATTTGATACATTGTTTTTTTACTGTTTTCACCGATCATATAAATTACCATTGATCAGGATAAGAGTGAACTGTTGCAAAATCAATGCCAGGGATCTGATTGTTTGCTATGAAATCAGTTCCCACTTGAAAGTTAGGGTTATATTGCTGTTTTTGAGACGATGATGGTCCATAAAACCCTTCCAAACCAGCTTCTAGTAAGTGATTTCCATCAATGGATTTCACATGAGAAGCCATCTCTGTAATCCAGGCCTGTTCAGAAAACACAATCAAAGCAAAATCTGTTGGTCATTGGGTGGATCCACAAAAGTATATCTAACTTCACCTAATTAGTATAACCGAACTCAAATAATGGACATGGTTATAGGTTCCAACTACACCACCGCATATTTCGACATTGGAGGCAGGTAAAGGTTAAATCCATTAAAAAAAAAAAGCTGATCTAAAGTTGTACAGTTACAGCTTCCAACGCCATTTTAATGGATCACGCATAGGTCGGCAAAAAGCCAACTGAAACCTTTAGCATTAAATTCATCAGAGAGTAAAATAAAAGAAGCAAGTTTTATGAAAAGTAAAACCAAAACAGAGCAACAGTGCAGCAGAAAAGGTTGAAGATGATATGTTGCTGACCTGCATGGTTTTTCCCGATGGATCCGAGAGGCACCTGGGCTCATTCATAAGCTCCCACGCCATTATAGCTGGTTCATCTTTGTAAGCAACTCCAGTCAGGGTGTTACGTCTCGTAAGAACAGTCTATTACACCCAAAAAGAGGAAAGAGAAAATAAATGAAAAGGCTTGCTCTTTGCATCAATTGCATATCTACTAATGTTCATCTACCTTCTGTCTGAATTAGTGAAATAAATTAATTAATTATTCAACGAAAATCTTACTACTGTCATTTATATAACTGTCAAAGGGTAGGCGTTTAAAATGCGAATGCGAGAGAAAGTGAGAGAAAGGAAAGGGGAAAAAACAGAGACTGACCTTGATATGGTTCTTGTAGTATCCTTTAACAACATAATTTGTAAAGAATTCATCATCCGAGCCAATGGATTGCCCTTGATTTCTTGCCCAGTTCAGATACTGTTTTTTCCCTCCAAATTGATCATAGTTATTCGCAAAGCTTAAAACTAACTTAATCCCATATCTCTTAGCCTCAGATACAACAAAATCCAATCCCTTCAAGGAAACAAAAAGAAAAGGACATCAGAATCAGATCACGGAGAAGATTATTTAACCTGAAAATGTTGTAACTTGAACCTGGAACATTTGTTCATTGTAGGATCCAGGTGAGTACTGAAGAGGTCTGTCTCCACCATCACCGAAAGCCCAAGTTCTGGCTATGGTGAGACAGTGCTTTTTAGCTTGTTCAAATGCAGATGAGACTTTGTTTCTCTGAGATGAATCGGCGGCCATGAACATGAGCCAATAAGCATTGAAGCCATTTGCATAGAAAGGACTTCCATTCAACATCAGTTGCACTCCTTTAGTTTTCACAAATCCATCATCAGCTTTGACATGCATAAAAGTTCCTTGTTGAAACAAAAGAAAAACAAACAAAACCAGACCCCAATCCTTCATCTCTCTCTCTCTCTCTCCTTAGTTTCTCTAGCAAAGCAGCAAAGAATAAAGAAAAGAGAAGGTTCTCGAGGTTTATGTAGGCGGTGGAAGTAGCGGTCACTATATTTTGCTGCTGCTTTAATTTCTAAATTGTACCATGCTCGTCTCGTTTTCTTTATTAACTTACCAATTGGGTAGTTTCTATCACAGAAAAATAAAAGGTAACCGAAAACCCTTTAATGCCCTTAAAGATGGATTTGAATGGCTTGAGAGGGACACACCCAAATGTTAATATTATGGCCGTCCATTCCATTTGGTAGTCCCCATTACTTTCCACATCCTCCATCTGCAGAAGCTATCGGAAACCAACGATGATAAAACCGGGGCCGGGGTTATACTGTTGTGCTTCAATTCATGAAACGAATGGCTTTATGACTTTATCATCGGACAAAATTTAAGTTGTATATATTCTTTCTAAATTATGATTGAATAATATGTACTTTGTCGACATTGTCTGGAGTTGATTAAAATTTTTCAAATTACATTTTTTTTTTTATCTTTTAGGTTCTCCGTTCAGTACTCATTTGAAAACAAAATTTTTCTTCCATTTTTGCTTACGTAGAAGTTATTTAATATAGGTTTAATACAAAAATAAGTGTTGAAATAATGCATCGAAAAATATTTTGGTGTTTAAAGAAATTTTTGTTGAAAATAGGTGTCTAATGTTTTCTCAATTATACTTTTAGATGACTATAATTATATTTTTTAATTTTTTAATAATAAAAATGTTATTTAAAAAAACTTAATTTATTTATTAAAAAAAATCCAAACTTTTAATGAAATTATAAAAAAAACTCTAAAAAATTAAAATATCTCATTTCAACCCCATTATCAATTGTCGTCGGCCATTTCTGGCTACCATCGTCGCCGAACACTTGGGCTTTGATCGAAATTGCACGGTGGTTCGAATGGTGGTGGCGGTGTGACTTATGGACTTCGGGATCGACCGGAATCGACGAAAAAATAGTGACGGTGACTTAAAATATGACGAACCTTTGAATGTTTCTCTACGGCAAACAGTGACACTTTACGACGAAAGTCCAATTGGCATTTGATCAGGATTCGACGTCGGTGCTGATGAAGGTGGCGGTGACGGTCACAGATGACCGTCGATGACCATGGAAAGGGGAAAAGGGAAGGGGAAGAGGGAAGAGGGAAGAGGGGAAAAGGAGGGGGGAAGAGGGGGACACGAACTATTTGGGTGTTCTTTTCAATAAAAAAAAGTATTTTTTATTTTTTGAATTTTTTAAAAAAAATTCAAAATTACTAGAACATGATATGTGTCACTTAACGATTAAATTTAACGGCTGTTTCGGTCCAGACATCTAAAAATCTCATGTGAAAACGTTAGACACTTGCTTTTAGCAAAAATTTCTTTAAGCACTAAAACGTTTTTCGAGTCAAAATTTAAACACTTATTTTTGTATTAGGTCTTCAATATATATATATATATATATATATATATATATATATTCTTTAAATTTTATCTTTTTATAAAAGAAGATTTTGAGATTTTACTATATCCTATTAAAGTTTTAAGACTCATTTCTATATAGTATTTTTAATGTCAGTTTGTAAAATATTATGAGCTGTCTCTAAGATCATTTAAATTAATTTAGTTGATGTTTCGCTCAGAATTTTATCATAGATTGTAAAATAAATTATTGAGCATTTTGCACTTAACCTTTTTCGCATTCGTTTGTTCTACGAATCATGTCAGGAGGTCTGTAACAACGACTTTATATTTATAACTATTTTCTCGTATAACTATAATTATCTGCACTACTATTCACCCATACTTTTTTCCAATATGATAATTGATCTTCGTGCGTTATATCAGATGGAGATAAAAGAATTTTTTCTTATTAATTTTCAAATGTTGAATGTGGCTTACAGTATATCTAATAAAACTTTTATCAGTGATCGTTCCAATCAACTTAAATCTCGAGCCTCTCTTTCTCATACATGCGAGATCGAGATTTTGAGAGTCATCAAATTTTATCTATCCTAAACCTCTGATACAAAAAGAAAAACCTTATTATTATGCTGCATCGTCGCTGGTTTATTGAATATGGATCCCAGATTTAAGGGTTACATTTTCCCTTAACCGTGAACATTCGTCAACACAGTACCTTCCTGGTTACCCATAACTGCTCTCAATTCGCAAACTTGAAGTCATCACTATTTAGCGTACATCACGGCAGCATTTGGGTTTGATCAGGGTTGTTTTATTGGAATGACTTTTGTCTCGGGGTAATGGTAAGAATGGTCCTTAAATTATAGTACACATTTGTAATATGGCCTTGTACTTTAAACTTTTATATTTCGATACCTAAAAGTTTTGCTTTCATCTACCAAGCAGTAAGTGTATATTATTAATTCCATTAAAAATGAATTGACGTGATATCACATAATAATATCATATTTCAGTATAAATAATTACTTTAAAAATTAATATAATATCCAAATGAAAGTATAATATTTTATTTTTTTAAACTAAAATTGATGCCACTTGTTGAAAAACTACATATTTCAATCATAGATGTTAGATAATGTCACATGACATTATTTATATGATAGTTCGTGTCAAATAAAAATAATTGTTATATTTATTTTTCAAAATTGTCAAATATAATTTTCGTGGCATTATATATCAAAAGTAATGTAACAGAATATCTGCCTTTTATTTTGACACACGATATAATTATGTAGTGACATGGAAAGACGTGTCAGTCGTTTCGTATTTAACAATGTCGGTAACATGTATAATTCTAGTAGATGGAACAAAACTTCATATATAGAAATAAATATTTTTAAAGTACACATAACATATTGGAAGGCTTGTTGTAGTTCAAGGGACATTCACAGAATTATCCCTTTATTTACTTAAACATGTAAATGGAGACAACAGTAAAAGATTGAAAGTCACGGTGAGGCAAAAGCAAGGCATAAAGGGGGAAAAGTGAAAAACAACACCTTCCCTCGTTGAAAAACTTAAAGAAGGAAAATGGGTGGTGGGTCATCCTCCATTTTCCCACCCAACCCAATGCTCCGTCTAATTTGCTTTATGTTGGAGCCTTCACGCTTCCCTAAAATGAACCCTTTTATTTTCTTACAGTACGCTCTATTTTGTACTCCGTAAGTTTTTTTTTTCTTTGAAATAGTTTGAAATTATTCTAATAAAATATTAATTTATAATACTTTTTTAATTAATCATTGATATCTAATCTATTGATCGATTAATTCAGATCGGATACTGCAGAGGTGATGACGATCCTCCCAACTCAGTTTGCTCCATTCGTAAACACCAGGATTTGAACCCCTGACCTTGCTTAAGGGACCTAATGTCTCATCTCACTAAACCAACTAGTTGTTGATATTTATAAAACTTTTTAATCAATTATAATACATACTCTATAGACATAACCATTTGAATCTAAAACTTTTAGAAAGAATAATGTTACTTTTAACCAATTAGATTACTTAATAAATTCTTGTACTCTATATATTAACATTACAACATATTTATTCTATGAATATAATAATAATTTCTAAGAATGTGAAGAATCCAAATTAACTTTCTTCTTTTAAATGCAAGAATTAGAATTTTCAATTTCTTTTCTTCGCTATGCAACCGTGGTCTTCTAATTGTTTATTGTTGTTGTTGTTTTTTTTTAGATTTTGGCCTACGATATACAATCGGTAGTTGAAAATTCGAGTAGCTCCGTTGTTAATATCTTAATCCATTAATTGTGATGCATGTAGGTGAAAATGATCCCTCCATGTCGGGCCAATTTCCATGATAAAACCACTCCTTATGCGGTCCACCTTATATTCATGTTTTCACAAATATCGTTTTATTGACGAGGAAATGTTCTTTTAGATTTTGACTTCACCAATGCTTTTTATTTTATTTTTTTAACCGTTTTCTTTGCAATTGTCAACTGATTTTAATGACATTATATTATATAAAAAATTAATAATGAAATTGATGAAAGTGCCCTCGCTTTTTCTCAAGACTCTCTATGATTTTATTATTTCATTTGTATTTTTTCCGACATTGATTCATCTCAGTCATGAATAATGAATGACAGAAGGACATCGAAAATATTAATTTAATAAAATTTCAATGTATATGCAAGGAATTGTGGAGTTTAAAGTTCAAAAAAGTAAAATAAAAACAAAAACTGGTTTTTGTTGCTGAAGATCCCATCACCGACGCAGCACCCCACGTGTTTTCACATTCCAAACGCGTAATGTTGAATAGTGACTATCTCGTCCGGTATTGATGGTAGTGCCGACGTCTCTTGATCTTCTCTGCTTTTTATTGAACTCATCAATCATTTTTTTTACGGTGGTTTTCATCGACTCGTGTTTCTAACGGCAAAAGCTTTTCATAATTCAGTTCGGTGCTTACTGCTTAGGTTTAATTAGCACAAGATCTGGATCAACCTTGGACGCCGTTGATGTTCATAGGGATGGGCATAGGTCGAGTTAGGTCGAATTTTTGATCTATCCGACCTGATCCGTATAATATATATTATCCATCCGATTCAAATCCGACCCGATACGAAATTATAATAAAAATATTATTTTTATTTAATAAAAATAGTGATTTAAATGAAAAAAAATAATATGTAGAGGAATATTATTGTAATTATTCCTAAATAAATAAGATAAATTATATTTTTTTTGAGTCAAGTCGGGTCATATATTTTTAACTCTAAACCCGAACCAGACCCGATCTAAACACCACATTTTAAAAAATATGAAACGATCCGATCCTAATTTTTTTTTAAAAAAACTTAATCCAATTAAATCAAATATCGAAACGAAATCCGACGGGTTCGGATCCTGGTCTCATACCTATCCCTAACTGTAGATCTAGAGCACTGGAATAAATTCTTTGATGTGACAGCTCGAGTGCTTTCCCTGCCTACTGTCCATTGATGTACGGGGATTCTCGTTGGAGGTTTTGCACCCTAACCAACCTAAATGCATTCAAGAGGCCGAAGATTGTCCATCCAAGGACAT